CGCCCCTCTACCTCAATAGGACATCTAGAGCACACATTAGATGTCCTGACTAACCCCGCTGCTGGTGTAGACACCACCAGATCACACTGAAGCTCTTTGACTACTAAGCCCAACCTCTCCACATAAGCCTCCAACACAAATGAATGTGTTGCCCCCGAATCAAATAATGCCACACAAGAGGCTCCAAATAATAAGCAACTGCTGACAATAAGGTTATCTACACTGGCTGCCTCAGCTCCGGTCAATGCGTAGACTCTCCCTATTGCTCGTGGACGGATACCACCCCTCTGAATAGCTCTCCCAGCCTGTTGTGTCTGTGGCCCTGCCCTCCTGGTCGTAGGACAATCTCTGGCATAATGGTCGTCCCGTTACAAATGTTGCACCTCTTGAACCCTACCCGCTAAGGGCAAATAGCTTGAAGGTGTGACCCTCCACACACGAAGCACCTCACGGGTCTAGCAAAACTGGGTTGCCCCGATGACTGATAGGAAGAACCCCTGGACCCATAAACAGTAGGTATAGAGAAAGGGGTTTTCCTAGAATTGGAGCCACCTCGTGACACTGCTGGTCCTCCAACTCTCAGTGGTTGGATTTGCTAACTTTGAGGTCCCTCTGATTCCTTCTTAGTCTTTTCCATATCACAGACCATTTCCACCAGAGCAGGAAACTCTCTGATGCGTAACCCCTTCACAAGCAGCTTTATATCACCTCTCAAGTCGTCTCAAACTTTCTGCATTGCCACTCTTCATCCACTGCCATGGTGTTGAAGCGAAGCAAATGTTTGAAGCGATTTGCATACTCTAACACTGATTTGTTGCCCTGTACCAGCTCTAGGAATTGTACTTCCTTTGCAAATCTGACACTGTCTGGGAAGTACTCAGTGTAGAATTTGACCCTAAACATCTCCCAGGTAATAGGAGTCTCACTCCTTTCAAGGATCATCTTCATGCTGCTCCACTAGTGGCCAGCTTCCCCGGTCAACAGATATTGAGTATAGGCCAATTTCCTCTCATCAAGACACCCCTTAGCTTCATAGATCCTCTCCATGTCCCTAAACCAGTGGTCGGCTTCATCAGGGCTGCACTTTCCAGTGAATCTAGCTGGGTGATGCTGGAGGAAGTTCTTCAAACTCCACTCTTGGACAAGAATAGCGGAGGAGGAAGCACCTGGAGTGGTTCTACCACTAGTCAACACTTCCATGAATGGCCTTTGAGTGTTCTCAGATGACACTCTCGCGTTCTCAGCAGATACCCTTGCGGCTTCCAAATTTTGTAATGCAATGGTGTTCTGCTGCACCAAAGCAGTATTTTGCTGTTGCATTGCTTGTAGAACAACCTCTAGCATCCTTATATTTTCTGATGGCTCAGGCTGAGGAGGTGAAGGAGGAGGAGCCCTAGGTGCCAACTTTTTTGTTCACACAAAGAGATAAAACCATCAATTATAACTCAAAGAAATAATCACAACTAACCTTGACATGATTAAGAGTACACAAGCATAAGCAAGCCACACATACAACCTACTGAATGTTCTAAGGACAGAAACTGCTCTGATACTATAAATGCGCCCCACTCGCCTTTCGAATTAAATGGGCAGTGGTTCCAGACCACCACCAGTCGCATAGCGACAAGATTCGCCAGACGAATCCACAAACAGAGAGCAACACCCTCTGGCCATTCGCACAGGGCACCAGCTCGCACAACGAATGACTAAGACAGTGAGCATTCTCTATAGGGTCTTGCTATGCGAGACAGCTCGCATAGCGACTCTGCATCATTTGCAGAACGCAAATTCTGTAGAATCACACACTCTCACTAGCCCTTACCATTTCTAGTTATTTTTTCCAACTTCTAACACTCTTAATTCGTGTTTTATACTTACTTAAACTCATCTAAATGATTATAAACATTCCCACTCCAATTCTAAAGTGATTAAGACTCAATTCCTACTCTAGAACACCAATTTTTCACAACTTAGGGACTCAAATCCACCTTTACCATTTTTTGCATGTTCTAAACCAATTTTATGTTCCTAGGAAGTTCCATTGGACCTAATCAAACTGTATTAACCCTTCAAACACACTCTAAACTTCCGATGCTCAGAATCCTTACCCCACTTTCTCTCCAATGACCTAAAATACTTCCTAAGTGTTAACCTGTCTATCTAAATATTACTACAACCGAAATCCTACCCAGAAACACTTCATACAAACTCAATTAACAGTAACTAAGTCCATCCACACACCATCGATCACAGTTTTATCACGCCCAAGTGCTTAAAATCAAGAATGCAGTCCAAGCATCATACCAGTTCAGAATTCAACATGCGTACATATTTATAAAACAAATTCAACCAAAACAAAATTTAAAAGTTATAACTAGCTCCCCTTACCTTGGTGGTTGTAAGCATAATACTACTCAGAATAGTAGCAAAACCCCAATAGTGCCTTACACAGCCAGCACACAGTAAGAACCTACAATCCACTAAAGTGGAGACAAAAACAGCTCTTAGAGCTATAATAGGCAGGGAATTAAAAGGGGAAGACTAAGAGAGATGGAGAAACTGACTTACCCATCCAAAACGGAAACTAATCGGATTGATGGGAAGCTCTCAACTCCGTGAACGAAAGGATACCACCTATTTGACAATGCAACGATTGTAATTTGTGAATGGGTAGAGAGAAGGCAGAGCAAGAAGAAAAAGACAGAGTTTAGAGAGAGAAGGAGAAGTTGACTAATGAACTCAGATTGGGAATAGTCCCTTCTAAGGTCATGGTGTCCTTAGTTTTACGGGCCTGGCTGCCTCAACATAAGGCCCAAAAGACCAATATTTTTCAGGCCCTTACAATATTTGACTCTCTAGTACACTTTTCCTATAAATTTGTAACTATGTTATTTATTACCTTATGCTTATCTATTAATACTTTATAAATATTTTTTATTATCTTGCTTATTAAGATTTTAATCAAACTTCGATTCTTAAATTCATTATTTATGTTTATGGAAAACATCCGTGTAAGAAAAAAAATTAACTATTTAAATAGATCCATATTTTAAGATACCGTTGTTTGACTTTTTGATTGAGAATAATATCATGCTTTCTTATTATTAGAATTATATACAAATATTGTAGGATTTACAGTAATTCATACACATTATTCAATCAATTAAATAGTATTTTCTTTATAAAAAAGTTCACAGACATCATTCAATCAACATAATTAAATTCTCTTTATAAAAAAAATGCATTATTTAAGAAAAATGTCATGTTTCTACTGTTTAATTGAGTATTACAAGTTCCCTTATATCACTACATTCTAATTTTTAAGAGTTCCATATTTAAGGTGTTTCCTTGTGAGCTAAATAATAAACTTGGAATGATGTTAGCATTTTCTATCTTACAAAAATTGTGTACTTTGAAGAAGATGAAGGTTGTACCTAGGGATGGCAGAAAAATCCGTACCCGCGGGTAAAATCCGCTACGGGTATTTAGTATCCACGGGTAAGAGGTACCTGCGGGTAGCGGGTATTTTAATACCCGTCTGTTAACGGGTCGGGTTCGGGTATCACCCTATCCGTACCCGCAGGTACCCGCTACCCGTTTGAGAGTTGAAATTACAATTTTATCCTGTTAAGTTTTCTTACTTTCGTATTCTCCGCTGTCAGTTGTTCAAACCCTAACTTTCTTTCTCACTGTTGTCGTAGGTTATCTTGTGCGAAGGCTCTGGAACTTCCTCCTTTGTAAGTGTATTTGGAGCTATATACTACGCTCTTGTTTGTCCACAGCCTCCTCCGACGGCTACTGAAGAACAAATTAGGGTATACAAAGAAGTAACGGAACCTTCGGTATTGCGCCAAAGAGCTTCTATCAAAGGCAAAACTGTGCGAGAGGCACAAAAAACTTTCCGTATAACTCACGCGGATCAATTTGTTGAGCCTGGAACGTATTTGCGAGTCCATGTGCACCCAAACGCTTTCCTAGGTACACTCAGAGAGTTTGTTGGAATGAATTTACATTTTAGATTAGTTTTGGGAATATGTTATTTGACATTTTAAAGCCTTTTTTAGGTGTTATGAGATTGACTGGAGATCAAGGATCATAGCTGTGGCGGAATCCTATGTAGTTTTGGATAAACCTGGTGGTACATCAGTATGTAATCAATTCCACATTACAAACTCAAAGTTTATTAATTCTCGTATATGTGCACAGTACAATGTTTTTGTAATTATTTATGCTTGATGGTGTCGAATCCTGTAGTGAGTCAAAAATTGATATTTAGATCAGACTAGATGATTATCGACTGGTTTTTTTACTCATTGTTTGTGCCAGTCCTCAACTTTCAGTGAATAATGTGTGGTTTGCTTATTGCTTAATGCATGGCCGTGAAATTGGAATTATCTGTGTGCTTCAACGTATGCTGCTGAATATATATGTATT